GAGAAGATCTGCAAAGAGGAGTGGGACAAAATCCCTCCTGAGATGTGTGCAAACCTGGTGGCCAACTACAAGAAATGTCTGACCACTGTGATTGCCAACAAGGGTTTTGCCACCAAGTACTAAGTCATGTTTTGCAGAGGGGTCAAATACTTATTTCCCTCATTAAAATGCAAATCAATTTATAACATTTTTGACATTCGTTTTTCTGGATTTTTTTGTTGTTATTCTGTCTGTCACTGTTCAAATAAACCTACCATTAAAATTATAGACTGATCATGTCTTTGTCAGTGGGCAAACATACAAAATCAGCAGGGGATCAAATACTTTTTTCCCTCACTGTATATAAATTATTGTTAGAATCTGACCTACTGCTCTTGCACCTTGTCTTCTTCTTACTTTCCTCCAGGGCTGGGGTTGATTCGAATTGAAGGCAGTCAATTCAGGAAGTGATTTCAATTTTTTTAAATCTAAAATGGACAAACTTTTGAAAGAAATAACTTCTACTCCTCTGTTTATTGAGAAGTTATTGAAAATAGATGCAGTTATTTTTGTTCAATTTTGAATTGTTATTTAAGTTTACTTCCTGTAGTAACTGAGTCATTGAAGGTCAGGGAGTGTGGGTAACAGGTCACATGTGGTTATTAAGGGAACTGATTTTTTTTTTCTCATACAGTTGGACCGTGATGTCATAGATATTGCTATTTCTGGAAGATTACATTTGTGGTTCTTCTCCATTATCACATAGAGGACGGCGGGTTTAGGCAGGGGAGGGATTAGTTTGTTTCAGAATTAGTAGCAAGAAGAGAGAAGAGATTCTGACTGCCAGTGGTGTTCATATTTGAAATGACAGGATAATGTTTCAGAAGATCAAAGTTAATCATGAACATTGATAGTAATAGATGAGGGCCCATTTGTATTAGGAGTCTCAGACTCGGTCTAAGATCTGATCTAGGATCAAGTCTCCCCTGTCCATATAATCTTATTCATTATGATTTCAAAGCCTAAACTGATCCTACGTCAGCACTCCTACTCTGAGACGCATCATCCATATGGCCCCAGATCACAGTGAATCATTGTTTATGGAGTTACAGATCAGACATTATATATGTAATTACATTGAGGTGTATTGAAGTATTGGAGAGAACAGTGGAGTCATTTCATTGTCAGAACTCTAATTCCTATTTTATTATTTTTTATTATATAAATATATACAGTTGAAGTAGGAAGTTTTTCAACCACTCCACAAATGTCTTGTTAACAAACTATAGTTTTGGCAAGTCGGTTAGGACATCTACTTTGTGCATGACACAAGTAATTTTTCCAATAATTGTTTACAGAGATTATTTCACTTATAATTCACTGTATCACAATTCCAGTGGGTCAGAAGTTTACATACACTAAGTTGACTGTGCCTTTAAACTGCTTGGAAAATTCCTGAAAATGATGTCATGGCTTTAGAAGCTTCTGATAGGCTAATTGACATCATTTGAGTCAATTGGAGGTGTACCTGTGGATGTATTTCAAGGCCTACCTTCAAACTCAGTGCCTCTTTGCTTGACATCATGGGAAAATCAAAAGAAATCAGCCAAGACCTCAGAAAAAAATTGTAGACATCCACAAGTCTGGTTCATCCTTGGGAGCAATTTCCAAATGCCTGAAGGTACCACGTTAATCTGTACAAACAATAGTACACAAGTATAAACACCATGGGACCACGCAGCCGTCATACTGCTCAGGAAGGAGATGCGTTCTGTCTCCTAGAGATTAACGTACTTTGGTGTGAAAAGTGCAAATCAATCCCGGAACAACAGCAAAGGACCTTGTGAAGATGCTGGAGGAAACAGGTACAAAGTATCTATATCCACAGTAAAACAAGTCCTATATCGACATAACCTGAAAGGCCGCTCAGCAAGGAAGAAGCCACTGCTCCAAAACCGCCCTAGAAAAGCCAGACTTCGGTTTGCAACTGCACATGGGGACAAAGAAAGGTACTTTTTGGAGAAATGTCCTCTGGTCTGATGAAACAAAAATAGAACTGTTTGGCCATAATGACCATCATTATGTTTGGAGGAAAAAGGGGTAGGCTTGCAAGCCGAAGAACACCATCCCAACCGTGAAGCATGGGGGTGGCAGCATCATGCTGTGGGGGTGCTTTGCTGCAGGAGGGACTGGTGCACTTCACAAAATAGATAGCATCATGAGGAAGGAAAATGATGTGGATATATTGAAGCAACATCTCAAGACATCAGTCAGGAAGTTAAAGCTTGGTCGCAAATGGGTCTTCCAAATGGACAATGACCCCAAGCATACTTCCAAAGTTGTGGCAAAATGGCTTAAGGACAACAAAGTCAAGGTATTGGAGTGGCCATCACAAATCCCTGACCTCAATCCTATAGAAAATGTGTGGGCAGAACTGAAAAAGCGTGTGCGAGCAAGGAGGCCTACAAACCTGACTCAGTTACACCAGCTCTGTCAGGAGGAATGGGCCAAAATTCACCCAATTTATTGTGGGAAGCTTGTGGAAGGCTACCCGAAACGTTTGACCCAAGTTAAAATGTTTAAATCGAATGCTACCAAATACTAATTGAGTGTATGTAAACTTCTGACCCACTGGGAATGTGATGAAAAAAGTAAAAGCTGAAATATATAATTCTCTCTACTATTATTCTGACATTTGACATTCTTAAAATAAAGTGGTGATCCTAACTGACCTAAGACAGGGAATTTTTACTAGGATTAAATGTAAGGAATTGTGAAAAACTGAGTTTAAATGTATTTGGCTAAGGTGTATGTAAACTTCCGACTTCAACTGTATGTATCACACATCTGATCGTTATCAGCATAACTTGGCTGTGAAACATTGTACTGCCAATAAAACCATCATTTGTATACAAGCTTATTTTCTTATTACATGATTAACAGTAAATCACTTTTGCATGAAATCACTTTTGCATGAATTACACCACTTTACATTCAAATGAAGTTATTCCATTCAAGGTGACAAAACTGACACTAAATTGCTAAAGCACTATACTCGTCATCAGAATTTGCAGCGAATTAGAGTTTCCTGCACAAGTAGCGAGCATGATTCATTGCGAATCACCACCACTGTCCTAGATCTCTATCTCTGTTTCTTGGAAATGGACCTGCAAAATGCCTCATTTGATTCTTTTTCTCATTGAAACATACTGTATCTTACATAGGTATTTGAGCAAAAAAATTGCAAATTTTACAGTATCCTGGTAAGAACCTGTAGTATCTCTAAGTGAGATGTACAGTGGACTTTACTGTGTTACCTTAAGTGTTTGATTCTGGTACTTCAATAGAACACTTTTAGGCCCCAAAGTGGGTACATCCCTCTGATGAAAGATATGATTTGAATCGTGCCAACCTGACATTAGTGCCGTGGTCATTAGTGTACCATTTGGGACGAAGCCATAATGTTGACTTGACAGAAAAACAGCTACTACTGTTATTTACTTTTTTTCTAGTGAAAACTGACTTAAGGCAGTCTGTCACAGTTTATACAAGCTTAGCTGATGTCAGCTGCTATGATGTTGATGACCGTTATTATGTTATGGTTGTTACAGTATTACTGATCTAAGGTATTGTTATAACAAAGCTACCAGAGGTGTAACAAAAAACAACAGAGCGCCATGGCATGCCATCATCCCGCGCATTGCGCTGCCATAAGGAAGGAAGCATAAGCAATAACAAAGTGTTCAATAACAGTGTAGTATCGTGTAAAGTTTGGGAAGAAAGTATAGGGCCTCAAACAATCTCAGATGTGGATGTAGCACCCTCTGCTGGACGGATAATGAGGGATAAACTGACAGCAGCTCGTCAGTGAGATGATGTGATCTTGTCGGACAGAAAGACTCCTGAGGGACTGTATGTGTGGAACATATTGCAGTGTTCCTTCATCTCCACAATTGCATAAAAGTCCTTGAGAGCAAATATGTGACTTTGTTACATATGAATCAGAAATGTATCAAATATGACTGATGATTCAATGTCTTGAGGGAAGGGGTAATTATATCTCAGAATGATAGTCTCTGCCTGTATCAACTTCACATTGACCATTGGTTCTCATGACCTCAGCGCGACCTCAATGCATGCTTGTTAAACAGCCAAGAAGACTCCCAATCACTTGGACATGCTGTAATCAGTTACTAGAACTGTAAATTGGTACATGGTGAAATAACGCCAGATTAGAGATTCCTCCAAAACTGACTTTAGATCTTTGTTGAAAGTGTGGAGTTTTCTCAGAAACATTCTGTACGCAGTAATAGGTGGTTATACCTGATATCAAGCCACACCCGGCCATGATTACAGACACCTGTGTGTGTCCTTTGACATTATTCAAACTAGTGACCCGCAGTGTTTGTCACTAAACCCTGATGAAGACAGCTTGTCTGTCAAAACGTTGGTTATTATAATAAATAATAATAATATGCCATTTAGCAGACGCTTTTATCCAAAGCGACTTTATTCTGTTATTAAATTATTGCATCTGCGCTCCTAGAGTGTGCGGCTCTCTTTTTCTTTTTCAAGGGTTATACCTGTTTTAACTGAAGGATGGGAGAGGAACAGAAGATTCAGAAGACTGCCCTTGGGCTTTTCCCATACAAGGGGATCAACCTGATCAGAGGGGGCATCAAGTTGAACACCTTGAGTCTCTGGAGACATTTGAAATACAGGATGATGACATATTTGCTGTTACTTACCCAAGGTCAGGTAAGACCATGCATCTGACATACTCTAGGTTATAGGCCTATACAGTACTTACTACAGAGCGCCATATAGCCTACACTACAAAACCTATTAAATTCTGCATGAGATTGTGCTGTGAATGTGCAACATAACCTCACAAATGCCCTGATTATATTTCTTTAAAAAACATGGATACAGAATATGTTGTCCCTATTGTATCATGGCGATCAAATGACAGAGGGATGTAACAAACAATCAATCCATCAACTGGTGCCTTGGTTTGAGGAGAATATAAGAGAAGTGGACTACAACAACATGCCATCAACAAGGACCTTTGCGTCTCACTTGCATTTGTCCTCAATCCCTCAAGGACTGAGAGAAAAGTGAAAGGTCAGAGAGAGAGATCACATGCAATGAAGGCAAAATAATAACTAACTGCCAGTGAAACCCATGGTCTGACACAGTGTAGTGTATATGCTATTTCTGTAGTGTAAAATGTATGAAACTGTACACAGATTATGTTTGAAAAACATCTATAGAGAGACAAAGTTTTTTTGTAAACCTGGATGCTAACAATGAGACTTCACAATATATAATTGTATTTACATCAATCTCCTGTATTTGTGAGTGAAAATCTACTGTATTTGTATTGTTGCATTACATTTTTAGTCATTTAGCAGACACTCTTATCCAGAGTGACTTACAGGAGAAATTAGGGTTAAGTGCCTTGCGCAAGGGCACATCGACAGATTTTTCACTTAGTCGGCTCTGGGATTAGAACCAGCGACCTTTCGGTTACTGGCACAATGCTCTTTACCACTAAGCTAACTGCCGCCCCATTAAATGGCTATTGATAAGGCTATATTTTAACTGTGTAAATTGTTTAAGGTGGTCTACATAGACAGGAACCCAGAAGATGTTGCAGTGTCTTTATTTAATCTCCACAATTTCATGAAAGCCCTTGAGACAAACCTGACTTTGATACATTTCTAATTCAATTTCTTCGGGGGAAGGGTAAGCATAACTCAGAAATTCTCCGTTAATCCTGGCCACTGTTCTTGCTATTTGGGGTCTAGGTCAAGTAACTGTAAATCACTTTGTGACAACTGCTGATGTAAAAGGGCTTCATCAAATACAGTGAGGGAAAAAAGTATTTGATCCCCTGCTGATTTTGTAAATTTGCCCACTGACAAAGACATGATCAGTCTATAATTTTAATGGTAGGTTTATTTTAACAGTGACAGACAGAATAACAACAAAAAAATCCAGAAAAATGCATGTGAAAAATGTTATAAATTGATTTGCATTTTAATGAGGGAAATAAGTATTTGACCCCCTCTCAATCAGAAAGATTTCTGGCTCCCAGGTGTCTTTTATACAGGTAACGAGCTGAGATTAGGAGCACACTCTTAAAGGGAGTGCTCCTAATATCAGCTTGTTACCTATATAAAAGACACCTGTCCACAGAAGCAATCAATCAATCAGATTCCAAACTCTCCACCATGGCCAAGACCAAAGAGCTCTCCAAGGATGTCAGGGACAAGATTGTAGACCTACACAAGGCTGGAATGGGCTACAAGACCATCGCCAAGCAGCTTGGTGAGAAGATGACAACAGTTGGTGCGATTATTCGCAAATGGAAGAAACACAAAATAACTGTCAATCTCCCTCGGCCTGGGGCTCCATGCAAGATCTCACCTCGTGGAGTTGCAATGATCATGAGAACGGTGAGGAATCAGCCCAGAACTACACGGGAGGATCTTGTCAATGATCTCAAGGCAGCTGGGACCATAGTCACCATGAAAACAATTGGTAACACACTACGCCGTGAAGGACTGAAATCCTGCAGCGCCCGCAAGGTCCCCCTGCTCAAGAAAGCACATATACAGGGCCGTCTGAAGTTTGCCAATGAACATCTGAATGATTCAGAGGAGAACTGGGTGAAAGTGTTGTGGTCAGATGAGACCAAAATCGAGCTCTTTGGCATCAACTCAACTCGCCGTGTTTGGAGGAGGAGGAATGCTGCCTATGACCCCAAGAACACCATCCCCACTGTCAAACATGGAGGTGGAAACATTATGCTTTGGGGGTGTTTTTCTGCTAAGGGGACAGGACAACTTCACCGCATCAACGGGACGATGGACGGGGCTATGTACCGTCAAATCTTGGGTGAGAACCTCCTTCCCTCAGCCATGGCATTGAAAATGGGTCGTGGATGGGTATTCCAGCATGACAATGAACCAAAACACACGGCCAAGGCAACAAAGGAGTGGCTCAAGAAGAAGCACATTAAGGTCCTGGAGTGGCCTAGCCAGTCTCCAGACCTTAATCTCATAGAAAATCTGTGGAGGGAGCTGAAGGTTTGAGTTGCCAAACGTCAGCCTCGAAACCTTAATGACTTGGAGAAGATCTGCAAAGAGGAGTGGAACAAAATCCCTCCTGAGATGTGTGCAAACCTGGTGGCCAACTACAAGAAACGTCTGACCTCTGTGATTGCCAACAAGGGTTTTGCCACCAAGTACTAAGTCATGTTTTGCAGAGGGGTCAAATACTTATTTCCCTCATTAAAATGCAAATCAATTTATAACATTTTTCACATGCATTTTTCTGGATTTTTTTGTTGTTATTCTGTCTGTCACTGTTAAAATAAACCTACCATTAAAATTATAGACTGATCATGTCTTTGTCAGTGGGCAAACATACAAAATCAGCAGGGGATCAAATACTTTTTTCCCTCACTGTACATGTAATAGATTTAATTGATTGATCAAACACATATATAGCCTCTTCAACACACATGATAAGTGTGTCAATGTGAAATACCCTAAATATATTTATTTCTTAGTTCCCTTGGTTTGACCATGTTAATGATTGGTATGCTCACAAAGACGAATTTGATACCCTTTCCCTGACATATGAGGATATGATCAAGGTAAATTCATTTCCATAATGATAAGATCACAAAACAGTGGATTGAATATTGTTAAGAGTAATCAAACAATAACATAACAACAATTTGCTTTCAGGACACACGAGTTGCACTTGTCAAGATATCAAACTTCTTGGGTAAAAACCTGGAGGAGAAAACCATTGACACAATAGTAGACAAATCCTCCTTCAAGAACATGAAGGAAGACCCACAGGCTAGAAGTGATATACAGCATCCTGCATTTTTCAAACAAAGTGGATCCTTGATTCGAAAAGGTATGGTATATTCATATTAATAATCATCATGCTTGTGTTAATCATTAAGTTAATTTCAAGTAATGGTTAAAAATTCACAAAAGAAAAGATACAAATACTACTGGATAGTTAGTTGAAATGTTGTTGACAGTTAGTTGACTACTGAATGTACAAATAATATATTTGCGCATACTATTTCATCCTGAGGACAAAAACCAAAACAACGTGCAGAGTGGGCCAGATCGAAAAAATAACGGGCCAGATCGAAAAAATAACGGGTCAGACAGGCAGACAGCAAGGTTTATACAAACAAGCCATCATTGTTGGAAATCAAATGCTAGGGTAAAAGCAAGAGCAAATAATGTGCTAATAAATGTCTTATTGCTTATAACATTATTAACGTGTGAGAGACAGAATGTTGGTCGCATGTTGTTTGTCCATTAGCTCAGGGTTTTGGAATACAAGCTTGAATCCTTAGCCCAGGGCTAAAGCTTAGTCCAGGCTTAGTAAATGCTTGTGTGAATGCAGGCTAAGCTATCCCAGGGCCAGTCTAGCCTGGGGATAATTTAGCCCGGGGTTAAGAACAATGCAGTGTGAAAAGGCCTATAAAGTGATACCATACTGTCTGTTATGTCTCTAATCAGGGAAGTTTGGGGACTGGAAGACTATGTTCACAGTGGCCCAGAGTGAGATGTTTGACAAGATCTACATGGAGAAGATGAAAGACCTGCCCCTTGAATTTGACTGGGAGCTGTGAAAAGAGACATATCCTGAACACAGGATGGTAGTGAAAGATTTCACCAGCTCGGCTGAAGATATCAGAAAATCGGATCCAGATGCTTGTTGTTGTTGATCTGTACTTGTCAAATTGTACTCCAGTTGTGTGAATCACTCTAAAGATGTCACTTAATTTTGGGGGGGATCTAGGCCTAACTAGATTGGAGGAAATAACTGCCCTGCCACAATGGTTGTGAAAAGAAGCACATGCAAAAGTTTAACATACATATACAATATTATTAAGATGCTGTCATAATTAATATCTACATAAAATGTTACGAGAAAAGTAACGTTTCTTATTATGATTTGCCCCATGTCAGTAATGGCTTCTTTTTGTAGGCACTAACTCCACCACAGGGTTTGTCCGACAAAGCCTGTGGAAATTAATGGCGTTTTTGTAGGGTTTTTGTATAAAGGCCAAAAATAAAGTCTGTGGTAAACACAGGCTTAGGAGATCTTATACGTTTTGTTCTATGAGATAATCTTCATCAGCTAACGTCACTTTTAGTGAATTCTGAAGCATGTATGTAATTTAAAAAAGCTCATAATTCATAAATGTCATGTTTGATATTATCTCATAGAACAAAACGTATAAGATATCCTAAACTTGTCTTAACCTCAGACCTTATTTTCGGCGTTTATCACAAAACCCTATTCTTTCCCCATTAATTTTCGCCATAGGAATGGCTGAACGAACCAGAGGTAGGGGCCCCGTGTAGCTCAGTTGGTAGAGCATGGCGCTTGCAATGCCAGGGTTGTGGGTTCGATTCCCATGGGGGGCCAGTGTGAAAAATGTATGCACTCACTAACTGTAAGACACTCTGGATAAGAGCGTCTGCTAAAATGTGAATGTAAATCATTTCTGGGTTTTAGAACTAAAAGCTGGTGAGCTCTATGGACTGCAGAGTGGAAAGATAGGGAGGGGGTTGATCCAGCTGATTTCTTTAAGAGAAGTCTGGAAACTGTGTGTCAGGATTTTGTGGCCATTTACACAGATGGTTCAAAAGATCCAAGGACAGGATGTACTGGGTCAGCATTTGTAGTGCAGGAGTGTGGGGTGGAAGTCAGGAAACGTATTACAGATCATCTGGCTGTATATACGGCGGAGCTGATGGCCATACTGTTGGCCTTGCAGTGGGTGGAGGAAGTCAAGCCAGACAGAATAGTTATTTGCTCTGACTCATGTGCAGTGTTAATGAGTCTTCAAATCAAATCAAATTTTATTGGTCACATGCGCCGAATACAACAGGTGCAGACATTACAGTGAAATGCTTACTTACAGCCCTTAACCAACAGTGCATTTATTTTAAACAAAAAAGTAAGAATAAAACAACAACAAAAAAGTGTTGAGAAAAAAAGAGCAGAAGTAAAAAATAAAGTGACAGTAGGGAGGCTATATATACAATAGAATAAAGTGACAGTAGGGAGGCTATATATACAGGGGGGTACCGTTGCCTTCAGTCTTCAGTCCTTTAGCTCACGTAGCAGACAAGACCTGCTTTATGAGGTGCTACAAACCCATGGCAGGATTAAACAGATGGGTATTCAGATAAGATTTACTTGGGTTCCAGCCCATGTGGGGGTGGAGGGGAACGAGGCAGTAGATGAACAGGCTAAACAAGCACTTAGTAGTGGGGATGTTGATGTTGAAGTGTCAATGAGCAAGGCAGAGGCAAAAAGACTGATATATACAGTGATGGTGCAGAGATGGCAGGAGCAGTGGAATATAAATAATAAGGGAAGGCATTTATTTCAGGTACAGAGGAAAGTCGGGGAGGGGAGGACGGCAGGAAGGGACAGAAGAGAGGAGGCTATTTTTACAAGATTAAGGGTGGGACACAGCCAGTTGAATATGACATTAAACGTGATAGGAAAGCATCCATCAGGAAAGTGTGATTATTGTCAGGAAATAGAGACTGTAGAGCATGTATTGCTACAGTGTGGGCAGTATCAGAGGGAAAGAGAGAATATGAGATTTAGTATGAGGGAGAAGGGGATACAGGAAAGTAGTTTAAAGAGTATATTGAGCAAAACGTCATTAGATATAGTCTCAAATATGTTATCTTTTTTAAGAGAAACGGGGTTGGCAGGTAGGATTTAGTTTCTCCCTGTCTCTGGCCCACATTCCAGTACGGTAGGTGACGGTAATGTACCATAATGTTGGATGCCAACCGCCGATAAACCCCACTGAAGAAGAAGAAAAAGAAGAAGGACTGCAGAGTGGGGATATTGACTACAGTACTAAAAATGCAACGCGTATCTTGAGCCTATTGCGCAGCCTCATTTCGAGCACCGATTTTGTAACGTCTACTTTCTTTTCCAAATGGAATGGTTCAGGTTGCAATAATGAAGCTAGATATGAACGATACTTTATCCTCTTGTGATACCTATCCGTCCATGATTTTGGCACTGCAAACCGACGTTGACATTTTTGCAGGCGGCGAGACTGTCTGGACAGCTAACCGCATCACTCAGCAATGAGGGGTTTATTTTCGTTCGCCGGATAATAATAACTAGCTAGTTAGCTATCCTCCACCCATGTTGAAGCAAGGAATTATGTTGTAATGTTATTTATGTGGGAAACAACAATTGTAAGCTTTGTCAGTGTCAGTCTGGTGAATGAGTTAATGGACTGAACGGTAAAGCGAATTAGGGAGTTAGCTGTCAACAACTTTGACGCGTTAGCTAGCTAACTAGAAACTAGTTGGCTAGTTAGCACTGACAAGAAGACAAAAATGTGGCAAAGCGTTGGTCTCACTTTGCTGGTAATTGTGGCCACCCTTGTGTGCGCGTTGCTCTTCATGGTGTTTGGTAAGTAACATAATATGTTGCCTTAGTAGTTCAGTTTTCTTGAACGTAATGTGAAATGATGACATCACTCTGACACAGCTGCGAAACTTATCAGCTGTTAGGTACAGTTAGCTAGCTAGCTAGCATTCAGCCATGATTATACTTATGCAACACCATGTGGCAAGCACTATCTACCCGCTATCTATCGTGAGCAGTGACTGTCTTGTCCTTTTTCCTTCTCAAAATGTTGAGTAGGTAGATAAAAGTCCCCAGCACAAGGTGCACCGGTTTAATGATCATGCTGTTTAATCAGCTTCTTGATATGCCACACCTGTTAGGTGAATGGATTATTTTGGCAAAGGATAAATGCTCACTAACAGTGACAAACAAATGAGTGCACACAATTTGAGCGAAATAAGCTTGTTGAGTATGGAACATTTCTGTGATCTTTTATTTCAGCTCATGAAACATGGGACCAACACTTTTTACATGTTGCGTTTATATTTTTGTTCAGTGTGTATATAAATATAAAATACACAAATTAATTGTTTTATTCATACACATAGTCACTGTTCACTTTCTATTGAGGACTTTTGTTCATTTTGGCCCCTCAGGTTGGTATGTTGTCTGGCAGCTCTTCCTGTCCAAGTTCAAGTTCCTGCGTGAGATGTTGGGCGACACCGGCTCTCCACAGGCAGAGACCGAGCCGTCCGAATCTAAGAGCGAGCGTACCTCTCCTCCAACCCCACGCCAGAGGCCCAAGACTGCCCGCCAGAGGGTCGTTCCTCCTGAAAGCACTACATAGACGACCACACCCATCCACCATCAGTCTTACCCTGTCCCCCTATTCACCAACCCCCGTCCCACTAGGAAACTGTGGTGGACGAAGTGAAACCCCTTACTAAATGGCATGATGTCAAAAGTCATACTACTCCCCTTTCCTGATGAAATCTCCACTCTGCACTACCTTACACCTCCTCGTCGTAAACACTTGATACTCTACTTTTCTCTCCTGGACACTCTTCTTACTAGACTAGGCATAGCTGCTGATGTTATAAAGGCACAAGCCATCAAATCATGGGACATTCTGTGTACAACTTGTTCATGTTTCAAATATGTATTTTAGCTGTTCACAGTATATGTACTGAGCAGCATGTCCAGTTTCTTCACCTGGCATTCACTGACACTGCAACATGGTCAGCTCTGACTGGCTGACACTGCAATATGGTCAGCTCCCACTGGCTGTCATGCTGCTAACACCTTTACAGGGAATCTGTTTCTCCATGATCACATGAGTGAATTCTCTGTCAAGACTGTGTATGTGTGCATTTATGAGAGTTTGTTTATTTGAACATACATGTGTTTGTAGCAAAGCCTATATTCTGACAAACTGTTGTATAAAACAGGCTCATTTGTTAGCTTTTACTTTCAGAAGCAAAACAACAACTGCTAGAAGAAAAAAAAACTGAATGAAACAATTTGTATAACTGACAAATTAAGTTCCTCGACGTGTTAATTTCACTTTATTTGTAACAAAAGTGCAATGAAAGGAATGTTTTTTTGGGTGGTTATTTTATTTTTGTTCAGAAATTAATACATATATAATGGTTGTTATGGAACGGTGGGGTTATAAAAACACCTTGAAGACGATGTCCAGGCTCTGTATGTATCAAGCATCTCAGAGTAGGAGTGCTAATCTAGGATCAGGCTCCGCCCTGTCCAAACAAACTTATTCATTGTGATCTAAAAGGCTAAACTGACCCAAAGTCAGCATTTCTACTCTGATATGCTTGATACGGCCCCAGAACTCCCTAGGAAGGCAACAAATAAATAGGCTATAGCTCATTGCTCTGGCTAGCTAGCCTCCCAGAGGTGCTAACTGGGGTGTATTCAATAGGAACCAAACGGAAGTGAAAAGCTGAAACAGGGAGGACCTAACCAAAACTTGTCCAATTAGAAACATTTGTATTTGTGTTTTCCGTTGTAAAACATTTCGCTATGGTGTGCACTAATGACTACACCCCTGGGCTCCATGCTACAGGGTCGTCACTAGCTTCCATAGCCACAAAGTCATAAACCACGCCCATTTCTACAATTTATCTTCTTAACATTTTAAACCTAGGCCTAACCTTTACCACACTGCTAACCTTATGCTAAGACCAAAAAGCAACAAAAAAAATAGCACATTTTGACTGTGGCTGTGGAATCTGACTTTGTGATTATGGAAGCTAGTTTAAACCATGTTACAGCTACAGCTAGCATAATCCCCTCCCCAGTGATGTGTGATCCTCAGCACTCCCACACTGATATGCTTGATACATACGGCCCAAGAGCTCCGCAGATAGACAATAAATATATAGGCTAACTCTAGCTCTGGCTAGCTTGCCTCCCACTAGAGGTGCTACATGGGCTCTATGCTACAGCAGAGCATAATGCCCTCCCCAATGGTGTGCCCTTACCTGTGCCTCTGTACCAGTGCCTGTCTAGATGGCATCCTTCCCTGTAGTTCGTTACATGGCCTCTGATCCAGCTATAAGCCTATAGCCGCCTGACATTGTAAAACATGTACATTCTCTATGTAATGGTTTTACATGTGATTGTCCAGATTTCAAGTTTGTTTTGGGCTATTGCTGTAATTTACATTCAGAATAAATATATTTCTTAACTCTCTGTATAGAAATACATTTATTGTAATTGCATTGTTGCAAAGCTGATAGCTGGTCTTTCATGCATTGCCATAGGGAGTACTGGGGGGGAGGGGGGGAAGCATTGTTTTTTTACTGCAGGTTCAATTTGATGTCACAACACAGACACATTTTAAGGCTTGTAAAGCTTTTTGAGTGTATTATTTTGTCTTGCACATGTATAGCCAGACTTCTGACATTATGGCCCTAACATGCTGACCACACCGCTCGCGCGTGTGCGTGCATGTTGATTTTGTCCACCCACACCAGACACGATCAGGACGCGCAGGTTGAAATATCAAAACAAACTATATTAATTTGGGGACAGGTCGAAAAGCATTAAATATTTATGGCAATTTAGCTAGCTAGCTTGCTGTTGCTAGCTAATTTGTCCTGGGATATAAACATTGGGTTGTTATTTTACCTGAAATGCACAAGATCCTCTACTCCGACAATTAATCAACATGCGCACGATGGTGGAAGCACGTGCGCGAGTGGTGTGGTCAGCATGTTATACTTTTGGAAGTGAGCCTTCCTTTATCCTAGAAACCCTAGACCCACTCCAATTTGCATACCGCCCCAACAGATCCACAGATGATGCAATCTCTATTGCACTCCACACTGCCCTTTCACACCTGGACAAAAGGAACACCTATTTGAGAATGCTATTCATTGACTACAGCTTTGTGTTCAACACCATAGTGCCCTCAAAGCTCATCACTAAGCTAATGACCCTGGGACTAAACACCTTTCTCTGCAACTGGATCCTGGACTTCCTGACGGGCTGCCCCCAGGTGGTAAGGGTAGGTAACAACACATCTGCCACACTGATCCTCAACACGGGGGCCCCTCGGGTGCGTGCTCAGTCCCCTCCTGTACTCCCTGTTCACCCATGACTGCATGGCCAGGTACGACTCCAACACCATCATTAAGTTTGCCGATGACACAACAGTGGTAGGCCTGATCACCGACAACGACGAGACAGCCTATAGGGAGGAGATCAGAGACCTGGCCGTGTGGTGCCAGGACAACAACCTCTTCCTCAACGTGATCAAGACAAAGGAGATGATTGTGGACTACAGGAAAAAGAAGAGGACCGAGCATGCCCCCATTCTCATCGACAGGGCTGTAGTGGAGCAGGTTGAGAGCTTCAAGTTCCTTGGTGTCCACATCACCAACAAACTAACATGGTCCAAGCACACCAAGACAGTCGTGAAGAGGGCACGACAAAACCTATTCCCCCTAAGGAGACTGAAAAGATTTGGCATGGGTCCTCAGATCCTCAAAAGGTTCTACAGCTGCACCATCAAGAGCATCCTGACTGGATGCATCATCGCCTGGTATGGCAGCTGCTCAGCCTCCGACCGCAAAGCACTACAAAGGGTAGTGCGTACGGCCCAGTACATCACTGGGGCCAAGCTTCCTGCCATCCAGGACCTCTATACCAGGCAGTGTCAGAGGAAGGCCCTAAAAATTGTCAAAGACTCCAGCCACCCTAGTCATAGACTGTTCTCTCTGCTACCGCATGGCAAGCATTACCGGAGCGCCAAGTCTAGGTCCTATAGGCTTCTAAACAGCTTCTACCCCCAAACTATAAGACTCCTGAACATCTAATTAAATGGCTACCCAGACTATTTGCATGATTGGTGTGCTTGGACCATGTTAGTTTGTTGGTGATGTGGACACCAAGGAACTTGAAGCTCTCAACCTGCTCCACTACAGCCCTGTCGATGATTTTTTTGTGTGCTATTTTTTTGGTATTCTTTCTTAAAACAGCATTGTTGGTTAAGGGCTTGTAAGTAAGCATTTCACTATAAGGTCTACCTACACCTGTTGTATTCAGTGCATGTGACAAATAAGATTTGATTTGATTTGACCCGCCCCAGTCACTCTGTCATATCTGCTTACAGTGACTGAACAACAGGGGACAGTGTTGCCCAACATGAAGCAGTGATGGAGTAAATCAGTGTTTTCCAAACTGTAGTCAAAGGGAGTCTTTAAAGAGTTTGAAACCAGCCAGTTAACATTTCAGATGTAGCTGTATTTCAGTGTATCAAGACATATGTTGTGACTGTTGTGTAATCCCGGTTAACCCAGAACTGAAATCTAGAATTTAGTCAGATTGGTAGTCTGTCTACGAGAGATTAGTGACTGTATTGTTGGGGAAAAAAAGCCAAGTCCTCTTGCTATCATTTGCTTCATTTGGAGGAGAGATGAGCATCCCTGGCAGTTATATGGCCAATGGTGAAAATGTTTGAAAATAATTTTGAAGCCATTTTAATATTAGAGGGCGTGAAACTTTAGGAAACCCTATATATACTGAACAAAAATATAAACACAACATGTAAAGTGTTGATCCCATGTTTCATGAGCTGAAATAAAATATCCTAGAAATGTTCCATACACACAAAAAGCTTATTCCTCTCAAATTTGGAACACAAATTTGTTTACATCCCTGTTAGTGAGCATCTCTCCTTTGCCAAGATAATTCAACCACCTGACAGGTGTGGCATATCAAGCTGATTAAACAGCCTGATCATTACACAGGTGCACCTTGTGTTGGGGACAATAAAAGGCCACCCTAAAATGTGCAGTTTTGTCACACAACACAATGCCACAGATGTCTCAAGTTTTGAGGGAGCGTGCAATTGGCATGCTGACTGCAGGAATGTCCACCAGAGCTGTTGCCAGAGAATTGAATGTTAATTTCTCTACCATAAGCCGCCTCCAACGTTGTTTTAGAGAATTTGGCAGTACGTCCAACCGGCCTCACAACCGCAGACCACGTGTATGGCATTGTGTGGGCGAGTGGTTTGCTGATGTCAACTTGGTGAACAGAGTGCCCCATGGTGGCGGTGGGGTTATGGTATGGGCAGGCATAAGCTACGGACAACGAACACAATTGCATTTTATCAATGGCAATTTGAATGCACAGAGATCCTGAGGCCCATTGTCGTGCCATTCATCCGCTGGCATCACCTCATGTTTCAGCATGATAATGCACGGCCCCATGTCGCAAGGATCTGTACACAATTCCTGGAAGCTGAAAGTGTCCCAGTTCTTCCATGGCCTGTATACTCACCAGACATGTCACCCATTGAGCATGTTTGGGATGCTCTGG